CCCCAAAACCCCAAAACCCCAAAACCCCTTCAGATTGAATTTTGCGAGAATTTTATTAAATTAAGATTAATCAATCCTTATCATTAAACTCATTCTGTATTATTTCAATTTTAGAGATTAATTTACTATCACTGAATTCTGAACTCTATCTTATTTGATTCTAGCTTTTTCTCTTTGGCTTTGAGTATTTTATACACTCCTCTGAACTCATTCTTGGACTAACCGAACCTTAAAGTGAAGAATTTAAGACTGTATTAAAAGAACTGCTGGTAATCGTCTCTTTAGAACACTGGTGATTTAACATTGCAGACCAAGTATTTGAAGAAGGACCTAATAACCACATAGACTATTTAGATGATCTTGATGTCAACTAAACTCACTATTGAAGTTGCCTAATGGAATCTCTTAAAGTCTAAACAACAGGCAACATACTTCTCAGCAGCTGCAATAAATAGCTTATTAAGGGTAATCTTAGCATACTCCTAGGTGTTAATAGTAGACTTAAAATAGAAACTAATGTTGTTCATCATGAAAGACTTAAGTTTTCTCTTAAGCCAGAGTATTGATTCCTTAGTCTGCATGTTAACATTCAAGGTACACAAGATACCCTCCTTCTTTATGTTAATATTTTGAATGATGTTCAGGTTGTTAGTGTCTATAGAAATACCAATCCAGTTAAAAAGTTCCTCATCAATTGAGGCTAGATCCTAAGTAGTGTTTGTACAGCCTATTTTTTGTAGATTCAAAACAAAATTAGTCTTAAGTTTCTTCATATTAAACTTAAAGTAGTTACCCATTGATAGCTGATACAGTTTCTCAATGAAAAGCATTGCATTATTTTTCTCAGTTGTCATTAAAAGATAATCATCAGTAAGTCTCATCAGCAAATTGATTTCTGGCTTGGCTGGGTCCATGCTTTCCTTTCTTAGAAATTAGAGTGCATTTTCTTCAAGATTGGCATAATAGAAAGATGAGAGAATATAAGAAACGCAGAGACCTTAAGGAATACCTTTCATTTATTTGTATTGCTTCTTGTTGAAAGTAATATAGTTATTTTGGCACATTTTAACTACTGGATTAAGTAAATCTTGCTTTGGGAATTTCTTTCTTTGCTCTTACTCCACTATAATAGTCCTCTTTATATTAAGATCATTGAACTCGTCCTCTAGTATTTCAAATAATGAAGGATAGGAACTACCATCAATGCCAATCTTCTAGAACTTATATCTGAAGTATTGTTTGATAGGCACTTTTTTGAAGTTAGAACGCTCAACTATAATGTTATTCTTTCTTTTAAGTACGAATGTATTTAGGATAAAGTACTCTTTATCTAGCAGATCAGATTTCTATAGGAAGTTAACTACCCTTTCACAGTCTACGTTATCATAGCACTTCTCAATATCCATAGCTACAAAGTAAAGCTTAGGCCTCTTAACTTGATTCCACTTGGTCACAAAGGCTTCATATCTTTTCATGATGTCATCGTAGTTGAAGACTGGGAAACCAAAGCTATGCTTAAACATCTTACTCTTTAGATTCTTTAACATCATATGCGAGGTTTGTAACTTCATGTTAGTCGTCATTCTATTAGAAAATCTACCCATCTAATTTGGTATCTTTCTATTGAAAGTCATAATGGGCCTGAATGTATCACCTTTTGGAATAAGTCTAAGTTTGCCTGGAGCAAAATTTTAAGATTCGCAGAACGATTGCATCTCCCTTTTCTCTACCTCCTTTAAGGTTTGCTTTAACAAATCTTCAATTGATAGCTTCATTATGATATTCCAAATATTTTTTCTATAGTAAAAGATTCTCTGATACTCTTTTTACTTCTCAGTGCAATAGAAGAAGCATCTCATAAGTGATATAGCTAAATCTTCAAATACCCATTTAAGAAGCTTAAAGCCAACAAATTCATTTTCATTCACAAAGTATTTAACATTTTCATCTTTGGCTTTAAATGACAACCACTTTATCTCATTTAATCTGAAGTTTTTAAGCAATGATATCTTTGTGAAGGATTCGAATCTATTAAATTTAACAAACTGCAGCATTTTCTTATTGAATATTTTCTTATTTTTGCCTTCAAGGAAGTCTCTAGGGAATACATTAGCCACGAACTCTGTTAAGAAATTAGCAATTTGTCTTTGGTCTTACTAGTATTCGAAAAGCTATTTATATACTTGTCCTCTGAGCTCATTGTTAGCTGCATCCTCTAGATATGACTTCTTGAGGTTTTTCCAGTTATCAGGAAGTGGACAGTTTTTGGATAGATAGTATTTGTAGTCAAATTTCTTCTGATTGATAATCACATGCTCAATGATTTCCAGCACATTCTTCTTCAAATCTTTTCTCATTCTATTAAAGCCAAACACTTCCTAGTATATATCATCTCTGATCTTTTCAACTGGGTGCTTTTAGTTCAGCTTATGCTTTTAGAAAAACTTGCTCTTTCTGTTCTGATGAGCGCAATAGAATAGACGGTTTCTCTTCACAATATCATCCATGTATAGCTTTTCCTAGTTCAGAGTGTACTGATCATCTGCTCCCTTTAAGTTATACTTGTGAGTCTTTTTCATTCTAATAGCCTTATCTAAAACTTTGTGCTCGGGGTTATCTGGGTTAGCAGCATTCTAGGCATTCTTATTAGGACCATCGTAAAAGGCATTTTGCAGTTTCCCGAATTTCTCATTAAGATAACTGAAAATATTAGTACCACTAATTTAAACCAGTGAGTCGTCTCTTGTTTTTAAGAAGATCATGTATTCTTTGTAAACATGCATGAATAAGGTATCACCAAGCAGTAAATATACTCTCTCCCAATTCTTTGTTATCATACATTGCTTATTCAAGTTGATGTAGTCACATTTGACTTGATAGTTTTTATTATCTCCTTGATTATTGATGTTTTGATTATGCTGCTAATAGCTATCTGGCTTCACTAGTTTATATCCGAATGTCTGCAGTTTATTTGGCTTATCATTTTTATCCATCTTCTAAGGTTTCTCTTCTATTTCAATCAGAATATCCTTAATGACCTTTGATATCAAATCAATGTAGGAGTTCTTGAACTCAAGCTTAAATTCTTACTTCACAAGATTGTGCAGTACATTTTCATTATATGAAGACTCAGTACAGAGCACGACATTATGACAGAAAAAAAGGAAAGATTTCTCAGTTTGCATCATTTCTAAATTTCTTTTAGAAGGGATGGCATCTGACATCTTATTAAGGTCAATCAGGAAACAGTACAGAGTTTTAGCAGACCCGATTTCATTACATGATTTGAGAGCCATATGCAAGTCATCATTTTCATTGTTATTTTGATGCTAGTTCTGATTGCCTTGAGGTTTATTAGCATTTGCTCCAGAAGGAGCAGCATTTTTACTCTAGTTATTTATTGTGGCATTGCTAACAAACTTTGGTAAGGGCTGTTTTTTAGCTGGGAAGGTCTGTAGCTTGCTAGGGCTTACTTCTCTTTAGTTCTGAGCGCGCATTACTTTTATCAGAATTATTGTATTAAAGTATATATTTATTTTACCGCCAATTATTACAGATTTCTCAATATTCATTGACTGCTTGGGGTTTTGGGGTTTTGGGG